CTCTCTCTCTCTCTCTACTCTCTCTCTCTCTCTCTCTCTCTCTCTCTCACCTTGTGCTTCTCCCCCAAGTCGATCCGCCACCAAGCCGTCACGCAACCCCCCTCCACACCACACAAGGCCCCGCTTCTACTCCTACGATGAAAACAACCCAGTTTCTTTTCACACCCCCTTTGACTGAAAAGTCGCCCTGTAGGGTGCTCTCGAAACAACTCCCTCTCTCACCCTGTGTTTCTCCCCCAGGTCGATCCTCCACCAAGCTGTCACGCAGCCTCCCTCCACACAAGGCCCAGCAAAGGATGAGCTCTGCAGGAGTGGGGTTGGGTGCAGAAAGGTTGTCGGGGTGGGGGAAGGATAGAGGGTAACAAGTAAGACATGAGCAGCACCCCTCCACACAAGGCCCAACAAAGGATGAGCTTTAAAGGAGTGGCGCTTGGGCATATAAGAAGGGGGTCAATTAAGGTGTATAGGTCCAAGCACCACCACAAAGAACTTAGTCACTCAGTCACAATGCTGTGTATAGTTCCCTGTCACTGTGAGCTGCCCTCAGTCGGTGTACGACAGGATAGGGCTTCTGGTTGTCACTGCATGATACCACATAGTACCACTGCACCGCATTGCACCGCATCACACACTGCATTTCACCGCATTGCACTCCCCACTCACCACATAGCCGCCCGATACTACGACCTCGCCATCGGTGTAGCGCGAGTGGAGGTTGCTGGCTGCCACTGAGAGGGCGAAAGAGCACATGCTAGGCACCAGCAGCGCACAGCACCGCACCAAGCCGTATTCAACCGCACTCTACCACACACACTCACCACATGGCCGCCCGATACTACGACCTTGCCATCGGTGTAGCGCGAGTGGAGGTTGCTGGCTGCCACTGAGAGGGCGAGAAAACTAATGCTACTCACCAACACCACACAGCACCGCACTAAACAGCTTTCAATTGCGCACTAGCACACTCTACCACACACACTCACAACGTAGTCACCCGAGACGATGACCTTGCCATCGGTGTAACGTGAGGGAGGGCTGCTGGCTGCCACTGTGAGGGTCTGACGGGGGAGGGAAGTGGGTGGGTGCGAGGTAAATTGGCAAGAGAGGGTGGGTGGGTGGGTGGGTGGGTGGGTGGCTTACGATGCAAAGAAAGGTGTACCCACCCACTTCCACAGGGGTGTTCGACTTGCTGGAACAAATGTCTCACCCCCACCTTAATCACTCCCTGCAATACGGGATTCATCGAGGGATACGAGGGATTCATCCCTGCCCATACGAAGTGTACCCACATGGAAGCAGTTTTGAGTCGACTCAAAACTAGGCCCACACCTTAATCACTCCCTGCAATACGGGATTCATCGAGGGATACGAGGGATTCATCCCTGCCCATACGAGGTGTACCCACATGGAAGCAGTTTTGAGTCGACTCAAAACTAGGCCCACACCTTAATCACTCCCTGCAATACGGGATTCATCCAGGGATGCTGCCCATACGAGGTGTACCCACATGGAAACACACGCTGCTCCGATCCCCGTCGTGCATGTATGCACTACAAACATCACATGTGTATTGAGGAACACGAGGAGCACTCAAGGCACCCAATGGCTGATGCAACACATGACTCACCCCCAGCAGCATGGGGTTCAACCAGGGGGGTCGCCCGTACATGGTACCTGCAGGGAAGCTGATTTTGAGAATTCTCAAAATCAACCTCAAACAAAGCAGGGAAGCACACAACGTTCCGATCCCCATCGTGCATGCACGCACACCTGAGATTCACACTGCATACATGGTGTAACAATTGACTCACCCCCAGGAGCACGGGATTCATCCAGGGGTGCCGTCCATACGAGGTACCCGCATGGAAACACACGCCGTTCTTATCCCCGTCGTGCATGTATTGAAGGACGCGAGGAACACTCGAGACACCCGCCAACAGCCGTTCAGCAGCCAGCAGCTTTTGCGTGAGCAGCTGCTGACTCAACCGAGGGCCATCGGCCTTTCGAGATGCCCCAAAGCCAAACCCTCTGGAAGCATTGCTCCTCTCCCTCCCCCCCCACCCATCTTCAACTCCTGCCATTGGCGTTCCCTCCCTCTCTGTACAGTCACCTACCCCCCCTCCTAGTGCTCTGGAATGAGGCGGCACTCTTTCCCGTTCGATATAGTCACACTTCACCCCCTCCTCTCGGCTTGCAGTGTCTGCTACCCCCGCTGTTATTCCACCCGCCTCCATCCTGTCACTAGCTGCCAAAGAAACCCGACCGGGCGGCATGGATTCGTCCCGACATGTCAACCCCCTCCCTGTCAACCTTTGCTTATCAGTTGTCTTCTCTTCCACATGATTCTCGTCACCCATTCTCTTCAGCCCTCGCTCCTCCCCTCGCTCCTCCCCTCGCTCCTCCTCTCGCTCCTCCACTTGCTCCTCCCCTCTCTCCACACTTTGCATAAACCCCCCAACCACATTGCCCCCCTCTCTCCCCTCTCCCCCTTCGCAGTCTCTTCTCTCTTCCAACTTGTGAGCCATCTCAAGATTCTCACCTGCTCTCTTCCTCCACCCATCCGCTCCGTCTTGCCTTCCCCGATTCTCCCTGTTTCGCCGCCGTCCCCCCTCTCCCCCATCTTCCACCTCACCATCTCCTCCCTCCCCCGAGTTTTCAAATGTCTTTAAACTCTCCCCCGCTCTCTTTCCCCTCTGATCCTCCCCTTCCATCCCATCCCACCGCTCTCCATCCCCAGCCACCCCTCCCTCTCCTACTTGCTCCCTATCCCCCTGTCTCAACCCCACACACATGCTTCGACTAGGCTTCTGAAATAATGCAGCCCCTTTTTCCAGCACCTCACCCCCTTCCCTTGCTGCACCCGCCCCATGCGTGTGTGCCTGAGCACCCCTCTCTCTCGCCACGCACCCCTCTCCACAGCTCTCAAGAGACCACGCCCGCGGCACAGCAGCCGCCGAGCCTGATGGCCAGGGTCGGGACGGGAGGTCCGGGGACGCAAAACGGACGATCCGACGGCCGAGATCTACCTGGATATCATCCGACTGAATCGAATCTAACCGGGCAGAATTGGAGTGGGGTTGGTGGGCCAAGAAGGAGAGACTTAAAGCATGCCCATAATAATCGGGGGGAGAGAAACCGTGAGAGAGACTGTGGGAAAATGTTTGGGGAAGGCTGTGTGAATGTTGTTTGCCTGTTTGTGATTCAAATGTCTCAGAATTTGAGAGGTGGTGAGCGGTAAAGGAGAGGGAGGAGGAGTGGGGATGGTCTTGTGATGCCCTGGGTGCATGGGTGTGTGGGTTGCGACGAGCAATTTCCTTGACAGCCTGAAGGGCGAGAGAAGGGGAGTGAAGGAGAGAGGAGGGGAGGGGGGAGGTGGAGAGAGAGGATGGGCGAGGCAAGGAAAATGCGGGAAAATCCACGACAACACACGGAGAAAGATTTGACAACAAGACTGGTGGAATTGGGAAAGGGCTCGAACATGAGAAGTTCAGAGGTGATGCCATCCACGTGGCAAAAGGGTGCACAAATTCAGGGAAACGTACGGATCGGCGAATGGTGGGAAGCCACATGGCAAGTAGGCTGTCCCTGAGCCTGACGAGGAGCGAATCAGGCAGCGACATGAACTGCACGTGCTGCAGCAACCCAGAAACTTCGTCATCCTCCTCCTCCTCTCCTTCGTCCTCATCACCCTCCTTCTCTTCTATCCCTTCACTCTCCTCCTCCTCCTGCCCCCCCCCTTGTAGCATGGGCTCAGCCCCTTCCAGCTGTAGCCGGCCCAAAAGATCGGCTTGAATGAGATCTTCGATACCAGGAGCCTCTGCTACAGCCGGATCCTCCCCCTCCTCCTCCCCCTCCTCCTCCCCCTCCTCCTCCCCCTCCTCCTCCCCCTCCTCCTCCCCCTCCTCCCCCTCCTCCCCCTCCCCCCCCCCTCCTCCCCCTCCTCCCCCTCCTCCCCCTCTCTCATCATCATCTCCCTCACTGCTCGCTCCGCCTCCTCCCAGCTGCTGACGTCAGCACGCTGCATGGCCCACGTCAGCACAGCGTCCAGCACTCGCTCCTCATTGGCTGTCCAAAAGAAGGGGCTCTGATAGGCGGACATTAGGTTACCAACCGGTAACCGCACAACAGTGGTGGTGGGGTAGTGGGAGATTAGAAGGAGAGACAGGGAAGGGAGGGCGAGCAGGGGTTGGGTTCATGGAAAGATGCCTCCAGGTAGAATGATTGGATTCGAATAAATGTGGGTGTAAGAGCAGAGAGGCATTGCGGCACACCTGCAATACAGCCGTGAGCGCACCAGCCGGCAGCCCTCTCAGCCCGTCCACATCAGCATCAACGCACCGCTCAAACCGCGCCGCGGCCAATGAGGCGGCGACAGCTGTCAGGCGAGAGCAGGCTTCCCCAGGAACTGATGCAGCAACTCGCAGTGTGGTGAATGCTGATGACTGGACAGGGGAAAAAGGAGAGTGAGTTAAGAGGTAAAGGAAGATGAGCAAAAGGAGCCATGGGAGCTGTCAGGTGCGGGCAGGCTACACACACCTAGCAGCCAGTGGCTGCAGGAGATAATCGCACTCACCTCTCACGGCAAAGTCATGTCGCTGTGACTGCCAGTGGTTGCCATGTTACCAAGAGATAATCGCACTCACCTCTTCAACACACGTCAGCAGTCGCTCATTCACTGAGTGGTGGAGAGCTGGGATGCAGAAGCGGTCAGCCAGACACAGCAGCGACAGCAGCACGCCCTGAGTGCTCTCAGGTGCTGCTGCTGATGCAGACTGTGACTGTGACGGGGATAGGCGTGATTGTAATGAGGGTGACTGTAATGGTGGCGACTGTAATGGGGGAGACTCCAATGGGGCGGACTGAAATGTGGGCGACTGCGACGGGGGTGACTGTTCTGAGAGTGACTGTATCAGGTGTTTCCGTTGAGAATGTGACAAGGGAGTGTGGGGGAGAGTGTGGGGCAGCTTTCCGGTATAGAAGAAGTACAGGAGAGCGGCAACGGCTTCATTAGAAGCACCTCCTATTACAATCTCGTGCGAGGTGGCTTCTCGCATGCCACTAGTCAGCATCTGATGGACAGCGTAGGAGCGAATGGGGGTGGAAGGAGGTTGAGAACGACCCCTTGGCGTTCTGTATGCCAGGAAAACTTTTTTCTTATAAAAACAGCATTACAAGCACAAAGAGCTGAGGAAGAAGGGAGCGGGAGGGTATACAACAGGGAGCAAGGAGCAAAGCAGAGCAGGGAGCAGGAAGCAGGAAGCAGGGAGAGCAGGAAGCAGGAAAAATACTCGCCTTGTGAAAGGCGGCACTCCAGGCACAGAGCACCACTCGGTGCACTCGAAACACAATACTGCTGGACTGCGCCGCCCGCACGCTCACATCACTGTAGCTGCAGGAATCATGTTGACTGTGAGTATGGCCGTGTCCGACTGCATTGCTGGCTCTTGGAATCGGCTCCGTAAACTCTCTTGTGTCTCTCGCCTCTCTACCGTCTCTCACCTCGCTCCCTCCTCTCGCCTCTCTACCGTCTCTCACCTCGCTCCCTCCTCTCGCCTCTCTACCGTCTCTCACCTCGCTCCCTCCTCTCGCCTCTCTACCGTCTCTCACCTCGCTCCCTCCTCTCGCCTCTCTACTTTCTCTCACCTCGCTCCCTCCTCTCGCCTCTCTACCGTCTCTCACCTCGCTCCCTCCTCTCGCCTCTCTACCGTCTGGCGCCTCGCCCCTGTTCAATTCAGCCCCTGAAGAAAAACCCATGTGACTGCCACCACAGCAGTCGCATCGCAGGTGTTGAAACAAATGACGGTCGGGCGTAAGCAAATGGGTCGGAACCCCGGCTGCTTCACCAGAAGGGATCGGACCTGCACTTGCAGTTGCAGGTGCGCTTGAATTCAGGCTTCCGCCTGCAGTTACACCTGCCTCTGTGTTTCCACCTGAAAAACCACCTGACCGAGCGCCTGAGCTCACATAATCGCCTTGCCTCAACCATCTGCTCCCCTGCTCCTCAACAGACAGCCCTTGGGAGCAGAGCTGCTGCGAAGCGGATTGATTCGACTGATTCCCGTTTCTAAAGGCGGGTCCATCTTCGCCTGTAAGTCCCAAGAGACCTCCACCACTTCTGAGGTTCGTTTTCTGTTGGCCCAACGCATGCTCCTGCTGCCGCTGACTCCTGCCTACTGGGTAACACAGACACACTACCCTGTTAACCTGCATTGACTGTGAAGCACTCATTGACTTGGCTGACTTGGCTGCATCCTCGTTCCCAGCGGCTGTAGCATTGGGAGTAGCGGCCCTTCTCTCTGCTGCTACAGCCGCAGAGGCGCCAAGCACTAGGTTTTCCTCTGTGACACAGGATCCCATAGCGCTCTGTCCAGATGCAGAGTATGTGCTCGCGTGGGCGGGTGCAGATGCGGAGTATCTAGATCCATGCCCATCCAGTGCTGCTTCACACGCCTGCTGCAATTCTTGCGCCCCTAGCTGGTGCGCGAGAGAGAGGAGGGGGCGGACGAGCGAGATGGGCACCTGCAAAGGAGGGATGGTGAGGTGAGAGAATGGGTGTTAGAACAAGTAAGGGCGATAGCTGAGGGCGTGTTTGCTGCAGCTCCTGCTCCCCCAACTGGTGTGCGCGAGAGAGAGGAGGGGATGGACGAGCGAGAGCGGCACCTGAAAGTTGAGGGAAAAGAAAGAGAATGGGTGATGAGACAAGGGGAAGGGCGACATGTGAGGGCGTGCTTGCAGCAGTTCCTGCGTCCCCAACTGGTGTGCGAGCGAGAGGAGAGGGTGGACGAGCGCGGGGGATACCTGAAGGGGAAGAGGGGAAGAAGAAAGGGAGAGGAGAAAATGGCATGAGGAAGAGAATCCGAAGAAGAGCAGGAGGGAGGCCTGAGACGTCTCACGAGCAGAAAGAGGTTTAGGGGTGAACGTGAGGCAAGCAGACCACAGCTAAATTTGCTTACGAGGAGAGGTAGGTAGAGATAAGAGGGGAGAGAGGAGAGAGGAGAGGTAGAGACAAAAGGGGAGAGAGGCGAGGGAGAGACAAAAGGGGAGAGAGGAGAGAGGAGAGGGAGAGACAAAAAGGGAGAGGGGAGAGAGGAGAGGGAGAGACAAGATGGGAGAGGAGAGAGAGAAATGGGAGAGACAAGAGGGGAGAGGGGAGAGAGGAGAGGGAGAGACAAGGGGAGAGAGAAGAGGGAGAGAGAGGGGGAGAGGGGAGAGAGGAGAGGGAGAGACAAAAAGGGAGAGAGGAGAGGGAGAGACAAAAGGGGAGACGGGAGAACAGAGAGGGAGAGACAAAATGGGAGACGGGAGAGAGGAGAGGGAGAGAAAAAAGGGGAGAGGGGAGAGAGGAGAGGGAGAGACAAAGGGGGAGAGGGGAGAGAGGAGGGGGGAGAGACAAGGAGAGGCGAGAGAGGAGAGGAGAGGGAGAGGGAAGAGAGGAGATGAGAGAGGAGAGGGAGAGGGAAGAGAGGAGATGACAGAGGAAAGGAAGGGATGAGTGCGAGTAGATTTAGCTATAGGAAGAGCATCACCTCAAGTCGCCCCATGTAGTAGAATGTGAGGAGCAGCAGAAAGAGGTTGGGGTCAACGTGAGGCAAGGAGACCACTGGTGGCTTCTCTTCACCCTGCTGCTTCTGCAGTGAACCAGGAGACTGAAGTGAGCTGGGTTGTGGTCGTGCTACTGCTGCTGCTGCTGGCAATCTTCCGTCCCCCACACTGGCCATATTGGCACCATCACTCCCTGAAACGGTTGAAACACCTCCCACCGATAACCCACCACACCCCTCAGAACCGTACCTCCTGCACAAGGCTCCAAAGCCTGGCCATGCCGCTGCTAAGACGACGCGATGGGCGGGGAACTGGCGAGATAAGGAGGAAGAGGGGGCGGCAGAGGTACCCTCAGTCTCCCCCTGTGCTGCGCTCACTTCACATGTGACCAACAGAGGTCCCATCAGAGACCCTGTCCCTCTGTCTTGCCTTCCTGCATCAGCACTAACAGCCCCATCGTCTCCCCCAACGGCAAAAACGATATCTGAAAATTCGTACGAGTTGACCAGAGACGCCCAGAAGCCACGTGGCGACGAGCCATTGGTGCTGTCAAGGTTGACTCGGCTACAACTGGGGTGACTGTAGCCGATGGTGCCACTTCTGCTGCCATACACACTCTCACTGCTATGATCTAGATTCCACTTGCTGCTGCTGCTGCTGCTGTTGCTGCTGGGGCTGCCGTTACCATTTCTGCTGCATGTGCTGCTGTTGCTGTTGTTTCTGGTGCTGGTGGTACTGATGATGCTGCTGCTGTGAATTAAACAGCCTTCCCTGCCTCTTCCCCCCATACTTTCCCACACAGACCTCGGGATCCTTACATGTGGTAACACGCGGATGTTCCTATATCCAACGTGCTTATCCCACGTGCTCAGCCCGACGAACCTAACGTCCAGGTTCGGGTTGCGGTCCTTGTATAAGAGTACCACCCGCCTGCCAGGCTCGGCACCCAAGCCTACAGCGATCTGGCCATCCACCACGTTTATCCAAAAGGCTCGAAATTCCGACGGGGCGATCGCCATGTGAGGCCCACCGCCGTCTACAGTATCTACACCGCTATAATGACATACAGTACGATCACTTTTAGAACCTAAAAGCCTTGCAACGAATTGAAACGGCAAGTGAGCGAAGCTGGCCAAACTGCCATGGCTGCTACATGTAAAGCACGTGCAATACAATCTGCTTTTGCTGCTGCAGCTGCTAATCTCGTTCCTCCTGCCGCCGCCACTGCTGCCGCTGCCGCCGCTGCTGCTGCTGTTGGAACCAATCCTGTTCTTCCACGTGGCAGTCCCTCCGCCAATACCAGACTGCAAACACTCAAAATTAGTCGTTTCAGCCACAGCTACCCCATCAACCTCCAGCTTAAGCCGCCTATTCCTATGGCTGCCGAACACGACCGTGTAATTCCGACCCGCGTCCGTCCGATAGTGCCGGCTGCCGTCGCGCGTGTCCTTAATCACCACCGTCGCGTCGTTCTCGCCTCGCACCTCCAGGACCACGCACCCGCGGCCCGGCCGGCCGAACTGCAGGCCGGCGCCGTCCAGCCACGCGCATTCGAACGGCGGCACGACGACGACGCTGTTAGGCGCCACGCGCACAGCCGTCGCAGACATGTCGAGTATTAAAAGAAATATCTGTAAAATAACGGTCAACCACGCGCAGTCACTACGACGACGATGCAGGTAACAAACTAACTGTGTAACCAGCAGCACCGGCCTCGCTGTGATTCTATTCTGGAATATTACATATCACGCTACTTGACTACAAAAAACGCGAGCTCGACGTCAGGGAGTTTCGCGAACACGCGGGTTTAGCACAGTGAAGATGGGAACCGCGGCTCGTACTGACTCGATCTTCAACTCTGTGAGTACTTACGTTACGAACATGGTGAATATGATGTGGAACCTGGAACTAAGTGGTGTATAATTTTTAATGCTTAACGACTGTCAACGGAACCGTTTAGTCCGTAGTACGCCCGAAGGTACGGCGATCCATGCTCGCTTCCCCAATCGCTCGATTATGTCTCCTGCAACTGGTCCTGACTTTCCTGGTTTTGGCGGGCAAACTTCAAGGCACAACCTGTCAGTCTCTTGGTCTGCATGGCAATCTCGGTGCCGCACTACTTGCTGCTGCTGCTTTTCAGTTCCCTCCTGAATCACATCCCAAGAGGAAGAGAGCGATGGAATTATCCCCGTTTTGGGGTTCCCCAATAGCATGATAACGTGGTGATAATGTTATATTGTAGGTAGTGCCTATACCGAAGGCATGGCATGACGGGGATCACGCGTGAACCACGGCTGACGAGCTGCTGGTTTGGCAGTGACTGGCAAGAGATGACGTGTTGGACAGTGCCATCAAACATGGGACGTGGGCGACGGAAAAATGATGTAACATTACGCCTCGCACAATAATTTCGCCTTGCAGGTTACAGATTACAGATTACACTCATATTTCAGACCCTCAAAGACATGGAACATATAAATTGCCAGCTCCCAAAACTCCTGCCGTCGCAGACGCCATAACACCTGCGACTCGCCACGCATCAGCAATATCTCCTGAAGCATATGACCTTCGCCAGAAACTCGCTCAAATTCATTTGGCTCCTCTCCCCCATGACCCGTCCCCCACGCCAGTTCACAAGGGCCCATCACCCTCGCTTGTTCACCAGTGCCAGAGGAGAGGGCGAGAGCACCGCCAGAGGTTCGTTGGTTCATGTACCAACCCCTCCAATTCCCCTGCATCGTACTCGACCGTTTTATCAAACACAAGTCAATCCTTGTGACAAGGTGTGTGTAGTATGGATGGCATCTCCCCTTCCCCGCCACTCCCTCCCCTTCCTCTCCATTCGACAGCCACACACGTTGCCTGCCCACCTGTCTGAGGCGGGACAAAATCGCCTCACTTGGTTTGCGCATGCGCCTGATAAACTAGGGGGCAGTGTTCGGGTTTCGTTGGAGAGCCGTTGAAGGAGAAACATTTGCTGCTACTGTACGGAACGGAGAGGATCCTCAGCAAAGCAGTTTCTAGCATATTCGAAGAACCTTTCAAAATCGTGAACTCCGCATAGACAAAACGACCTTGGAACATAGTCTCTCCGTAGGCGAGAGAGCTACTATTGAATAGCTCGCACCATGGCTCGAATGGTTCCACTCTCCGTCCTCGCCCTTCTCGCACTCTTGTCAACCTTCTCGCACCCTCGCACAGCACTAGTCGCCGCCGTCTCAGACAGACGGCAACTAGCGACACCAGCTGCCGACAGCTTTCAGCTGACCGGCGACTCCGGTTTTCACGACGGCGAGTACGACGGTTTAGACGACACGGGGCTGCTGAATCTCTCTGAGGCGGAGCAGGCAGACTTTCTGCGGCAGTCCGAAGCTGAAGAGTCCGACTTCCTGCAGTACGATTCCGAAAGTGTGCCGATTCAGCCCAACAACGCGCAGCGCGCGGCCCTTCTCTCACTCAAGACCGCCTGGGGCTCCGATTTTTTCAAGGCGGAAACGTGGTCGGATGCGGAAGGGGAGCACCAGTGGTGGGGGGTTACTGTAGACTCTGAAGGTGACGTCGTGGCCTTGGAGTTGCCGAACGCGAATTTGGAAGGCGAAATTCCCGAGGAGCTGACGAAGTTTCATGATCTCGCGACGCTGGATTTGCGTGGGAACAAGCTTACTGGAAGCATCCCTGAAGGAATATTTTCCAGCTTGCCTTCACTGCAGGATATCTACTTGAGCGATAATCTGCTGCAAGGGAAGGTTCCCTGGATCGAGTTCTTTTACTCTAATGAATCCAAGGTGTCGACTCTCAGGCTTGATGGGAATAGGTTTTCGGGCAAGATTCGTCCCAAAGCTTTCGATAACGCGACTTCACTTCAGGCTCTCTTTTTGGGCAACAACAAGTTCTACGGGAAGATCCCACGGAGTCTCGGCAGCTGCAAAGAGATATCCGTCATCGATTTGAAGAACAACGAGTTTTCGGATCTGATGCCGACTACTATCGCCGATCTTCCCGGCCTTGAAGTGTTGGACGTTAGCGGGAACAAGCTGACCGGACCGATTCCCAACTTCCTCGGGCGACTCCCCAGTTTAGTCAACCTCGACTTAAGCAATAATCAGTTTTCTGGCCTTGTACCGGATTCATTCAAACTGTTTTCGCACAAGGCGCGCGCGGTGAAAATTGGAGACAACTTTCTGACTGGGCCTCTGCCTCAGTTTCCCCGCTTCTCTAAAGGCTGCGGCATTAACGGTGTAGGAGGCTTGGACACCACATCGTGTTACATGCTTCGGTCTCTTTTGGATTTTGAGGGCAACTTCTTTTACGGAAATTACTCGCTGGACATTCAGCTGCCCGGCTCGGAGAACCTTCCTGCCATGTCAACAGTCTGCCCGTACGAGTACCCTGAAAGCATCTACGTCAACGATAACTGCCTGAGCTCCACGGATTTGTGCGAAGTGGAGAAGCAGCGGCCACCTAAGGAGTGCGATGAGTTTTGCGGGACTGGCAGTCCCGAGGGGCAGTGCGGGGGAAAGGGGGTTTGTGTGCTGAACCACTTGGAGGGGAGTGGCCAGAAATTTGTTTGTGAGTGTGAACCGGGGTTCCTCCCCATGGGCAACCCTTCCACTTGCGTGAAGGGCTGAAGGGGGTGCGGGAAGCAAGGGGTGGTGGTGAACATGGGGTGTTTGTGAGAATGGCGTGGGAAGGGTGTGTGTGGTAGCTTGGGGGTCTGGTGTCATGACTTCCATATTTGCAAGAGCAGCAATTACACGGCTTATTGGGTGTGTGAGTTCCCAATGGATGAGGGGGGGGAAGAGGTGGATGAGTGAAGTGAGTGGCATCTAGGTTCCTGATGCCCTTGACACACTGTGCATAGAGTTTATGTTTGTGCATTCAGTATTCCAGGTCTAATTTGTTTGTATTATGAAGAGGCTTGGTTGACAAGCTCTAAGCCGGTAGATTGAAAAAACATGAATCCTATATCTAATATTTTGCACATCCAGCCCAGAACAAGAAACTTCAGCATATGCTCGTGGGGTGAGCAAACGCAACGAGTTGACTGTACCGCGAGAAAGCAGTACTGTGCGCGCACCAGCCCTTCCCTCGGAGTTATTCCATGACCTCCCAGTGCTGCTGTTTCATTGGTCCAAACTTGTCCCTGGAGGTTGTTCCATTTCATGTACACTGCATACCCGTTGTGGAGTAACAGAATCCTCCAAGGAATCTTTGCAAAGAGCACGCCATCGCCAAGCAAGCAAGCTTGATACGGTAGAACAGGAGAAGCTGTTTTGGCGGGTGCTTTGTTCGACTAGTGTCAGACTCAAAAGTCAGAACTCGAGTTGAAGCTTTGTCTGTCGAGGTCGAGTTTCGTGAAAGGTCTACAGCGTAACACCCTGACTCGGCTTCCGTGTTTCTTGCTCCTGTTTTCACAAGCTCCCACTGGCGAGCTAGTTACGGGCCCATTCGTCTTTTCATAAATATGAGTCGGCATCCCGTCCCTCGATAGGTTCTCAAAGACACGTCGGTCTGTCGCGTTGATAGAAGCCTCTCGCGTAGGTTGTATTTCGTTTCTGCACCCGGACGCAGGGAATTCCTTCCTTCAGTACAGAAGCGCCACGAGCATTGGGAATGGTTAATCAGGCCTTGTTCTTGTGTAGTTTAGACCTTCTTGAAAGCAGATCCTGATTTAGAAGCTGATTGCGTGCCGCGAGACCGAGGCAGGCTAGGTTCCTTATAGGAGGTTCCGGAAAGAGAACACAATGGCCACCAAACCCCTGACGTTGTATTTGCTCGTTGGTGCAGGTAAGACCTTTGACCTGTGACGACGCAAGGGGTGTCAAAATCGTACCCGTTCATTTATCTGCTCGTTCCTTGAGCTCTGAGCTTCGAGAATTTCCGAGCTCTGTTTGTCTTCGTTTGTGGCTTCCTCGATATGGTCAACGAAGTTTGTAAACAGATTCGGGCCTTGGACTTCTTACACCAATCGATCTGAGCAGCTCGTTTCCCGATCGAACTCTTTCTTCCGCGTTCAACCTCGTTGCCATTCGTTGCGCCGGCTGCCGGCTTACGTCGTATTCGTCATTCGTTACGCGCAGGTGTAGCTGGTGTAAGCATTCTCGGTCCCGCCAAATTCGCGGATCTCCTACGCGATATTACTCGGGTGCGTGCCTCTCGTCCATCCCTGTACGCGTTATCGTCATCATTCGTGACGGATTAAAAGGTTGTTCCGTTGTCTTCTTTCCTGGTAATCTACTCAACTTCTCGCGATCTTTACCTTCTTCTCACAACCTCGCCCTCACGCATTTGACTTCTGGCCCTCCCTCTCTCGTACTTGCCGTGCCTGTCTCGATCTTACGCTTCATTGTGAAAGTACCTTTCTTCACCGTAATCTGCTTCCTACGAGCCTCTTTTAACCGCAGTCCACCTTCAATAATCTCTTTAGCAAACCTTTGGACGTTCCCCCCCCCTTCCCCGCCGCCTTCTCTTCTTCAAACGCCTCGCAGCCTGTTTGATCACTATGCGCTTTAGTTGGCAATAGCTCCCCCTTGAATAAGCCACCACCCCTCCCCCCGCCCACCGCTCCGCCTCGTTCATTGGTTTCCTTCCTCAACTTTCTCCCCGCCTTTTGTGCTTCTCCTGCCCGTTCTCCGTCCTGTTCATTCCGGGCAGGTGGTATCGAAGCACCTGAAGTCGATAGAGGATGGATCCGACAGCAAGAGAGACCACACAGATGACGTCAACATGGCACTCATCGACCAGGTACGGTGTCCTGCCTCCTGCATTGATCTACCAGGTATGAACCTGCAGCAACCTGCTGCTGCTGCACTGATGGACCAGATCAGGTATGGTGCTGGAAGACGTTGATGATGGATGAGACAGCAAGAGAGACCACACAGATGACGTTAACATGGCACTGATCGACCAAGTATGGTGTCCTGCCTCCTGCTGCTGCTCCTCCTCCTCCTGCTGCTGCTACTGCTGTTGTTCCTGTGCTGCTGCTGCTGCTGCTGCTGCTGCTGCTGCTGCTGCTGCTGCTGCTGCCGCCGTCGCACTGATCGACCAGGTGTGGTGTCCTGCTGTTGCTCATCCTCCTCCTGCTGCTGCTGCTGCTGCTGCTTCTGCATTGGTCGATCAGGGTACATTGTTACTGCTGTTTTGGTGGGCGGGGGTGGTTCTGTTTTTCTGCTCTCGCTTTTTTATGAGGCTCTTTATCCGAGAGGAATCATTTCAGTCGACTCAAAAGTCACCTCTTTATCTGAGGAAACTTTTGAGTCGACTCAAAAGTCACCTCTTTATCTGAGAGGAAACTTTTGAGTCGACTCAAAAGTCACCTCTTTATCTGAGAGGAAACTTTTGAGTCGACTCAAAAGTCACCTCTTTATCTGAGAGGAAACATTTGAGTCGACTCAAAAGTCACCTCTTTATCTGAGAGGAATCATTTATATTGTGTCAACTTGGCTGTTGTGATCCACCCCCCCAATTCGTTTCATTTTGTCCTTCAACAACTCTCCTTCCCCACACCCTCCTCCCCACTTCCCCCGCTTTTTCACACTTTCCTCCCTCCTGCATGTCTAGCATAGAAGCCGATGTTTATTGACCTGCATTTGACGTCAACAGCATTTCATCCCTGCCGTTTGCACCCATGTCATTGGAACCTTCCTCGCAGGTTCACAAGCTGAGCCTGCAGGTGCAGCAGCTCTCCACCAGCTCTCGACCAATCACAGTCGTCAACGCTCCACCTGCACAAGAACGAGGTAAGGAGGTTCTATAGGAGGTGTAGGTGATCGAGTAAGAGTTCTCACATCTTACTCGTACCTCCACAAAATCCACAAAATCCACAAAATCTGTAATATGGAGGTACGGAGGTTTAGTTAAATGTTGCCGCCTCTAATCTGTGACATCTAATTAGCACTTTGCATCTGTCATGACGTATAATTCGTTTTGTGTGCGTCCTGATTTTCTGTTTGCCCCTTGTGGCCGTTGCATGTGTGCAGGGGGGAGCATTGTGGGATATGTGATACCTGTGGCAGTCATTGGTGCGGCAGGTTATGGAGTCATGTGGTGGAAGGTGCGTGTGTGTGCGCGATGGTACTGTAGGCATGGTGGTGGTGACATGACATGACATGACGTGGCATGATGGTGCTGGCATAGCACAACGTGGCATGGCGGTGTTTGTGTGTGGGTGCAGTGGAGGGAGCATCGTGGGGCATGCAGTGCCGGTGGCTCTTACTGGTACGGTCGGATATGGGGTCTTGTGGTGGAAGGTGTGTGTGTGTGTGTGCAATCATGGACCTGGGATGGTGTGGTGTTGGCATTGCATGGCATGGCATGGTGGTGTTTATGTGTGTGGGTGCAGGGAACATTGTGGGATGGCAGTCATTGGTGCAGCTGCTATGGGTTCATGTGGTGGAAAGTGCATGAGTGTGTGCAATCGTGGTGCTGGCACGGTGTGGTGTTGGCATGGCGTGGTGGCAGTGCATAGCATGGTATGGTATGGCATTACATGGTATGGCATGCCGCAGGGTGTGACACCAGTGCACACGACCAGTGCCACCTTCTCTGTCTGTCTGCGTCTCTCCGTGTGCAGGGCTGGCGAGTGAGGGATCTCATGTACGTGACCAGGAGGGGCATGGACCAGGCAGTGAACCTGATGGGGGACAAGGTAGCAAACCGTCTATCGACCTCCTTCCTCCCTATCCGCCTTCGTTCTCTTGTTGTGCAGGGCTGGCGAGTGAGCGATCTCATGTACGTGACCAGGAGGGGCATGGACCAGGCGGTGAAGCTCATGGGGGCGAAGGTGACGGAGCTGCAAACAGCCCTTGATGTGAGTATGAGCTTCCCAGGCACTTTGGACTTGAGTAGCAGACGTGCAGGCAGGCAGCTGTGGTTTTCTTAGGGAGATGATGTTTTAGAGAAGAGCATTGAAGAGAAGTTGATAATGGCCGAGGGGCTGTCCGCCACTATCCCGTTCGATGTAAGCACAACCCCCCCCATCCCCCGTTCCTCCCCCATTCTCACCTGCAGACGGCCAAGAAGCAGTTGGCTGGGCGGCTGGAGGGAGTGTCCAAATCGGTGGCAGAGGGGCTGAAGATGCAGGCGATAATAAAGAAAGATGTAAGGAAATGTGACTGCAAGAAAGGAAGAGCGGTGTGTCAAGGGTATTTTTTATGGGTGCCCAAGTCAGTGGCTGAGGGGCTGAGATATCCAGGCGATCATAAAGAAGGACGTGAGTGACTGACAAGGATGTGACTGTATCAGAGCAACTGAGGGGTTGGATGTCTTATAAAGTAGTAAGGTGCGACCAGGAGGGAGGGAGTGTCCAAGTAGGTGGCCGAGGGGCTGAAGATGCAGGCGGTTATAATGAAGGACGCGAGTGGCTCATATAAGGTGTGACTATAATGAAGCGAGGGAGGGCTGGGTATGTTTTTAAAGGGTGGTGGTTAGGTGTGACCAGGAGGAAGGGAGTGCCCGAGTTGGTGGCCGAGGGGCTGAAGATGCAGGTGGTTATAAGAAAGGCGTGATTGACTGATTCAGGTTGTGACTGTAACGTAGCAAGTGAGGGGCTGAGTGTGCTTCTAACGAAGCAAGTGGAGTAGCTGGGTGTGAAAAGCATCCGGTGAGTCACCCTTTGGGTTTTACTTTTGGGGCACCTTATGATTCGTCTGTCGTGTTGGTGAAGGTCATCACTCAAAGCCCGAGTCTCAAATTGCAAGCCGCGCGGGTCAAGTTTTGAAAACGTGATGCTGAGCAGCTTGCAAACTTGAAGAAGGTGCAGCTGCAATTTGGGACTTTCTAGCTCCTAGCAGGGGAAAGTTGAGGATTGGCTGCGTGTTGCGAAAAAAAAGAGATTGACGAAATTTACCCTCTCTCGCCACAACCCGAAAACTGAACTACCTCCTCCTCAACCTTTCAAAACATGAACAAATTTGGGCCAACGGTTCAACTTTTGTCCAATGGGCTTATGACAGTCGACTCAGCAGTCACGTAGTCTCAAGATTCTTTGATCCTTGGACTTAGGGTTGAGCAAAAAAACGAACACCTGTTCGGTTCGCCTCGAACACGTTCGAGGCGAACCGAACAGGTATTTTTTTTTTGGCTTAAAATGTTCGCCGAACAGTGTTCGATGTTCGCCCGAACACGTTCGTGTTCGGGCCGCTGCTGCAATTTGCCCGCGACGAACACGAACAGTGTTCGAGGTTCGCCCGAACACGCCTTCACAGGCGAACGGCGAACACCATTTTTTGCGCAAAGTGTTCGCCGAACCGAACAGTGTTCGGTTCGGCAAACGAAGGTGTTCGTGTAGGGGCGAACACGAACACGTTCGTGTTCGCCACTTGCTCATCCCTACTTGGACTCGAAACTCGAAGAACCAAAGCCCTGAACCCTCTCCGTTCCCCTCCCCTTTAAAATCGTCCCTCGCAGGTTATCGAGGTGAAGGAAGTGGTTATCACCTGTGTGCTTGTGACCCCAGTCATTTCTAGAGGCTGTTGAACCCGAATCTTAAAGCCTAGCTCCCTTGCTTCCTGCCCTTGCAGGTTATTGAGGTGAAGGGGGTGGTTACCAGTGTGAGTCGAGACCTGGACAACATGCATGGGCTGGTGGAGGGCATGGTGAGTGGAAATGGGGGGGGTGCGGGGTAAGTGGTGCAGGGTTGGAACTGGCACGTGTAGCTTATCCTCGAGTTACCAGTGTGAGTCAAGACCTGGACAACATTCACGTTTGCGGGCAGATTTTTTTCCTTCAGCTGCCCGGCTGAAGTAAAAAAATTATGGTATTCGAAATCGGCATTGTTAATTGTATAACATAGAATCTAACAACACAGAATTACTTGTGATGTGTGTTAAGTTTCGCGAGGTGTACAAACCAGCTCGCGCCTTGTCCCAATTTCACGCGATATTGCGTAAGTCAATGCGTTTCCCCAATGCGTTACTCCGAATCAGTCCCCGCTAACCCTCCCAGTCCCACGACGTATGCAGGTTGTAGAGCCTTTAGATTGACGGCCGAATGCAACTTCATAGATCTACCATGCTAAACTAAGATCTTAGAACCCATGACCTACCATTTTTAGTTACAACCTTAGTTAAGATCTAACATATTACCAGGCTGTATCTGCTGGTCCGCTGCCCTGAACGGTTCCGCGGCGACATTTCGCAAAAATTTAAGACCGAACGAACGATTTTCCAACGATTTTTTTTACCTGCCCGGACCCAAGTTACGCGTATTTACGCGTACGTAAACGTAAACGTAATGTTACGCGTAACATTACGTTTACGTAGTGCCAGGGACGTACGGACCCATCTTAGGTGCGAGTCAAAAGACCTTGACAACATGCATGGGCTGGTGGAGTGGAGGGCATGGTGAGTGGGAGGCGGGGTTGTGATTGCAGTGGGAGTTTTGTGAAACTTCAAGGCGAAGTCGCTCACCCTCCTCACGCACACGCTCCTCCTCGATTCACGCGGTTTTTATATGGGTAACATTTTCGTTCCATAGATGTGTTTTGTGAAAAAAAACTAAATCTCGCGTAGTTCTTGCAGGGCATTGCCACCCGTGCGTGCTGTTGTTCTCATGTGTCTCTCTGTCACGTGTTGTCTGTGTGTGCCCTCTGCCATGCCATCCTCTCCCTCTGCTTTTCTTCACACGATACCAAGCTGGCCTCGCTCGAGCAGAAGCAGGACATTGCCACATTGCTGCGCTCATGTGTCTCTGTCTTGTGTCTTGCAATTCTCCTGCCTTCAACCCCGGGCCTGCAGGATACCAAGCTCGCATCGCTCGAGCAGAAGCAGGACATTGCCACACGGGGAGTGCTGCTGCTGTGCAGTTTCGTGAGCAGAGGGCTGCAGGGCAACCCTGGCAACCAGGAGCTGCTGAAGGTGAGGTGGGGGAGTTTTGGTGGATTATGGGGTCAAAGAGTGTGAGTAAGAACAGAGGCGGGCAGTAAGTGGTTTGCTGCTGTGCAGCTTCATGAGCAGAGGGCTGCAGGGCAACCCCGGCAATTAGGAGTTCCGGAAGGTGAGTAGCGGTGGGGTGGGGTTTGGAGGGGCTAATGGAGTGTGCGAGCAAGAGGACATCTCCACTGTGTGAGCAGAGGGCTGCAGGAGAGCCTTGGGAACCAGGAACTGCTGAAGGTGACAAGTGGTGGGAGGAGGGGGGAGGTATATTTGTGCGACTTTTGGGAATTTTCAAAAGTCGTGATACTTCTCAAAAGTCGTGAGAATTCTCAAAAGTCGTGAGAATTCTCAAAAGTCATGAGAATTCTCAAAAGTTGTGAGAATTCTCAAAAGTCGCACGAAGAGGGCTGCAGTAGAAACTTGGGAACCAGGAACTGCTGAAGGTGATAAGTGCTGGGAGGAGGGGGGAGGGGTTGGGCGGATGTGGTTCAGTGGGCGGTTGATGCGGTCCAGAGTGGTGAGCGGTCTATGTCTTTGCAGCTTCCGCTTCCTCTCTTTTTCCATCTACTCAAGTTTCCATATCCCAGGGCGTGGTGGACATGTCACTTGTGGTTGTGCTACAGATTGCCTTTTGAGGCGCCTCAAAAGTCGTGGCGGACATGTCACAGATGGCTGTGCTACAGATTGCCTTTTGAGGCACCTCAAAAGTCGTGGCGGACATGTCTCTTGTGGCTGTGCTACAGATTGCCTTTTGAGGCGCCTCAAAAGTCGTGGCGGACATGTCACAGATGGCTGTGCTACAGATTGCCTTTTGAGGCGCCTCAAAAGTCGTGGCGGACATGTCACAGATGGCTGTGCTACAGATTGCCACGGGCAACAGATTGCCACAGGCAAGGGCATCACGCTCATCTGATCTCCCTTCTTCTCGTCTGGAGCCCATCTACTCTGCTCCCAATGCATCAAGGCCTGGCGCACATGCCGCAGATGGCTGTGCTGCAGAGTGCCACGGGCAAGGGCATCACGCTCCAGCTCTCTCCTGCCCTCCCTTGTGCTCCTGCCATCTGCTTTCCTCTCATTCTCTCAGGGCCGGGCGGACATGTCTCAAATGGCCGTGCCACAGGTCGCCACGGGCAAGGGTCCAGCTCATTCTCTTTTTCTGTCATCTCCCTTCCTTCCTCTCCCTTCCTCTCTGCCTTCCTCTCTGCCTTCCCATCTACTCTCAGGGCCTGGCGGACATGTCACAGATGGCCGTGCCTCAGCTTGCTGCGGGGAAGGGCGCGCCAGCAGGGGGGGCAGTGGGGCTATCAGGGCTGAAGGAGCTTGAATTCATCTCGTCTGCTTTGGAATCTTCCGTGCACCATACAGGTAAGGGTGCAGGTGGTAGTGGTGCTTCAGGGGAGGGGTAGGGGAGTAGGGGGGAGATGTGGGCAGTGGTGCTGTCGGGGCTCAAGGAGCTTGAGTTCCTCTCGTCTGCCTTCGAGTCCTCTCCTTGGTGCACCACTCAGGTGGGAAGTACTGATGTTACTGCTTGGAGGGGGGGGGGGGTTGGGGGGTTCGGGAAGCAGTGGGGCTGTCTGGGCTCAAGGAGCTTGAGTTCCTCTCGTCTGCCCTCGAGTCCTCTCCTTGGTGCACCACTCAGGTGGGAAGTACTGATGTTACTGCTTGGAGGGGGGGGGGGATGGGGGGTTCGGGAAGCAGTGGGGCTGTCTGGGCTCAAGGAGCTTGAGTTCCTCTCGTCTGCCCTCGAGTCCTCTCCTTGGTGCACCACTCAGGTGGGAAGTACTGATGTTACTGCTTGGAGGGGGGGGGGGATGGGGGGTTCGGGAAGCAGTGGGGCTGTCTGGGCTCAAGGAGCTTGAGTTTCTCCCAACTGCTCTCGAGTCCTCGGTGCACCTCTCAAGTGGGGGTGTGGGTGTGTTGCTGGTGAAATTGTTGGTAGTAGTGCTTCTGTGGGTGGGGCAGTGGGGCAGTGGGGCAGTGGGGCCATTTCTCTGTCGGGGCTGAAGAAGCTTGAGTTCATCTCGTCTGCCCTCGAATCGTCCGTGCACCACTCAGGTGGGGATTGGGGTGTGTGTTTGGGGCTGCTGCTGCCGCTGGTGGTGGTGTGGCTAGTGCTGCAGCAGGACGGGCAGTGGGGCTGTCGGGGCTGAAGGAGCGTGAGTTGATTTCCTTGGCTTTGAAATCCTCCGACCACCACTCAAGTATTCGTGGAGGTAGGGATGGTGCTTCTGGTGTGGTTGCTGGTCGTTGCGAGTGCCGGTGATACCAGCCAACCATGTCTCTTCACCCCTGTTGCCTGTATCTCTCCATTCTCTTCTTCTCCACCAATTCCTCCTCCCCCTCCTTGACCTCTGTTTACCTATCCCTCCATTCACTCCCACTCCGCCCATCCCTTCTCCCTTCCCATCTGTGCCACTGTTTCAGGGAACCTGCCTCTCGATCCTGCCTACACGTACCAACCCACTCGCCAAGCCTCCTACCAAGCCTCAACAGCAGGTTTGGAGCGGCAAACCTCTGCATCAGCAACGGCACCGGCCGCAGCAGGAATTGCATCCAGACACTCATTCGGAGCAGGAGGGGCGGCGGCAGCTGCAGCAGCCGCAGCAGCGATTGCAACAGTGTCAGGGAGATCTCGAGGGGACAGTGTATCTGGACTAGGGGTAGGGGTAGGAGGAGGAGGAGGAGCAGGAATGCATGGATTGGGGCCAGAGCGAGGGATGCACGGAGCAGCAGCAGCACATGGTTTGCATACGGCAGCACCTGCAGCAGCACAAGGTTTACATGCATCTGGAGCAACAGCAGAGGCGGCTGTGGTTCAGAGCGTGAGAGAGGCCGGGGATGCGGTGTTGAGGCGAGGAGTGGTGATTGAGGAGGTGGGGGATGGAAGGGAGGGATATGGGCGGCCGCGTCCAGCGAATGAGGTGTCGCCACCTCGTGCTCGTGAAGGAGTACCTGGCGGTTATCCACCAAGGTGTGTCCCAAGTGTGTGTGTGTGTGTTTTTTTTTTCTGTCTCTGTAAAATGTTATTCTTGTGTTACTGCAAATTATGATGGCAGCTCCTAGCAGAACTGGTTTGGTCAAGCCCCACTTGTGATTCACTCCAATTTCCACCTGGCCTACTTTCCCTGGCATCTCACTCTCTTGTTTCCAGGAAGCTGAGGCATGCTCGTTTCGGAGACTGAAGAAGACTGTTTATCAGCATACATGGCCAAGATTGGCGTGAGCAATTTAAACAAGGCCAGTTTACATGAGATGCCAGTTGACATGCTGCACCATAACATGTTGACTGGCCCTTTCATGTCATGCTACTACTATTTGGCTAAATTCTTTCGCAATGGGCATTGTTGTTGTGATAGATCTGAAGTTGCAGATTACATTGGCAAGAAACTGAAGTAAATGAAAGCAAAAAAAGGAGGTGCACCTTTGACTGGAGGTCCCCGAATTAGGGACAGATCTACAAGCAGGGGGTAGCCCTTGAAAACGGACAGCTAAAAGGAGTAAGGTAAAGAGTATCCTAACCAAGTCATGCCGCCATTCACAGAGAGATGCTGGGAGTACACTGCTCGTTGTACTTCTTAGCGGAAAACGGGTCCAGCTGCATCGTGCATTCCACATGCACCATAACGCGTGGCGACGAGATGCCCCAGTATTTCACGCGCGCTGCAGTGCCAACCACCACCCGCATTTCCGCGCGCCCATGCAGCAGCGGCGTCGTCAGCAGGCTCGCGGGACTCAGCGTCGCCAGGGGCGCATCGACAATATCGATGGGGACAGTCAACTCCGCGCTCCCACCCTTGCTCATGCCCACGACGCCAGGAATGGTCACATTTGTAACATTCATGTCGAAGAATTTTACGTCCACGCTGATGTTTTCCGCTTCCACGTCCCAGTTGTTGGGGTTATACACGAGCGCGGTGACGTTTATTAACGCGGATAGGCCCAGGCGGAAGTTTTCGAGGCCCAGGAACCCGCCGCCGGATTTTGTGATGCCGACGCGGAGGATGTTGATTTGCTTGACCTTCACCTCCGGCTGTTGCTTTGAGACTGTCAGGTATGCGACGAGCCCTGCGACGCCTAATCCGACGATAACGACGGTGAGGACGATAAGCGACCAGCATGTGATGCGGCAGCAGCAGGTCCGTTGACGACGCCTCTGGCGATCCTTCTCGTCCTTGCGAAGCTTCTCTGTTTCGTCTGCAGTGCTGGTTACTTTAGGATTGGCGATGTGCAAGTCGGAAGGGTAAACCGCGGTGAACTCTCCCGGGTTCTCCTCGTCGCCGCTGCCACTTGCGGGAACTGCGTTCCGCGCAAGCGGAGGCGCGCAGCAAAAAACGGGAAGCGACTTCTGAGGGGATGAGGAATCGGGAAGCGAAGCGTCTGGGACTGAGAAAGCGGAGTTTCCTGATTCAATGTCCCCGTCCGATGCGACCTGTTGTGTCGACTTCGAAATCCGTGAATCGCTGACGAGAGCCATATAGCCTGAAGGCGAGTGTGTTCGGGGATGGTAGACGAACGTGAGATGGTTGAGCGGAATTGCGTGGTCAAGTTGATGATTGGAGTTGCTTCGAATTGGTCTGTTAGGAATGGGCTTGCTCTTGCATATTTATCGTGCAAGTGAGGGGGAGAAGTGTCGAAGTTCCGTGGCCCCGCCCCACCTCCACATCACTTTCTGGCTAGCCCTTGAACCGAGTCGCGCCCAGGGTAATCGCGGTCCGCTGTGCACGACTTGGCGAATGAAATGACGGAACCGAAGCTTCTTCGTCGCTTGGTAATTGGGGATGCGGACGGAACAAACGAACAAGACGAACCAGCCAACACGGCTCGGTGAGCCTCCCTCCAGTAGCCCATATTTCCAACCAACCTAGCCTAGCCATTCAGGCTAGGAATGACTCATCACCAATCAAATCGGTACCAGCCAAAATGTGCTGGGTTTTTTACAACAAGAAACAATGCTACTTATGTGAGTGTGTAATTCCACTTCAATTATTGCACCCCAAAACCTCAAATTGAAGAGTAGTCCAGAACGGAAGATGAGGGTTGCAGTAAATCTTCAAAGATGGCTATCCGGGTTCCGTCGTCCCTTATCTAACTATTGTAGCTAGGACATGTGCAACAAGCTGGCCCGCAGCTTGATGATGCAACAAAACTGATCAAATATGGTCATAGCCCCAAGCTTTAGGGCCTCTAACACATTCTATGTGAGTTGCTTATACAGACTGTTACAGGTTCATCAAGCTGAGCCTCGCTAACAGGTGTCTCCTAACAACATGTAAAATATTACCAAGACACTACTGCAGAACATTCCAGGAGGCAAGCAGACTTCTCCCGTCCGCTGCAGCACCCACCCACGCTGCAGTAATGACCGGGCTGCAGGTGTTCAGATGCTGCCTGTCACGATTGAAAGTCACCTGTAACTAGCCGCATGGCTTCTCATCCATCTGTACGCATGCACCATATAAACAGCTGCTGACCCATATAGTCTCTGAGAACACACATGTAAACCGCCTTAGAATCTCTTCCCATCACCTCCCCCCCCTGCCCCCCCCCCCCCCACACCCCACCCGCCCACCCCCCTTGGTAGCTAGTATCTATCCCGCGAGGATGGGATGTCACGTAGCAATGAGATCGGCAGCTTCGAGAACGCGCCCCCGCCGCCGCCCCTCTCGGTGTCACTCTCGCCTCTCGATGCCGGCTCAGGCACTGCCCTGCCACCGCTGCTGCTGCGCCGGCTGCCTGAGGACGACCGCTCGCGCTCGCCCCCGCCGCTGCTGCTGCGGCCGAACGCACTGCTGAAGCCACGCGTGAGGGGCGAGGTGCTCCTGGGAGATCTCTGACCGGCTAGTAGGAGGTGAATGGGATGCGAAGGAAGAAGAAGAGATAGAGGAAATAAGAACCTATGGCTAGGCTCATAGGCTTGATGTCACGCGTGCTGAACCTCCAATGCATGGCCTGTATCCAACACAATATCAATAAAGGACTGCTTGAGAAAATAAGAAGGGTCACAAGCAGAACGCACAGCTGACGCCATGGGTCCAGGGTGGAGTGCTTCTGGGGGATTCTGACCGGCTGGGGAGGGTAGAAAAAGGGGGTGGGAGAAAGGAGGGGACGGAGAGGAAGGAGGATTTGAGGGGGGAGAAGAGATGCAATGCTGGAGCCATGGGTGAGGGGGGAGGAGCTTCTGGAGTGGACGGGAGTTGAGGTTACAAGCATTGGTTGGCAAAGAGCGATAAAAGGACATGTCGGAATTGTGGGACATGTGGGAGACGTGGGATATGTGGGGCCAACCCTTGATGATGTAGCATGCATGGTGTATTGTGATAAGCCATGCATGGCACAGGGCATGTGGGATTGGGAAACGTGGGGGACACTTGGTAGATGTGGGTGACATGTGGGGCATGTGGGGCACGTGGGGCACGTGGGGCACGTGGGGCATGTGGGGCATGTGGGGCATGTGGGGCATGTGGGGCATGTGGGGCACGTGGGGCACATGGGGCACGTGGGGCACGTGGGGCACGTGGGGCACGTGGGGCACGTTGGGCACGTGGGGCACGTGGGGCACGTGGGGCACGTGGGGCACATGGGGCACGAGGGGCATGTGGGGCACGTGGGGCATGTGGGGCATGTGGGGAAGGTGGGGCGTACCTGAGGGGCTGGAGCTGCGCGCAGTGGCACGAGAGAGCAGACCACCCCCCGACGATGACGTGCCTGTGGCGCCTGACTTGACCTGCGCCTGAGGAGCACACACACAGTGACATCACGCAAGCACATGCATCATGCACATGGACAAACGCATACACATGGAAAAGTTTGAGTCGACTCATACGTCACCCCTGATGAGGATGATGATGTGCCTGTGGCGCCTGATTTGACCTGCGCCTGAGGGGTGCAAGACACACAAACATCACGCACATGGACGAATGCATACGCATGTATTCTTTTTAATCGATGCAAACGTCATGTTCAGATGATCATGATGTCAACCTTTCCCTTCCATTCGTCACACAGACATCACACACGCCCATTGTCGGTAAAAGTCAACTTCTCCCTTGCACTACTCTCAGGATTAGACCTTCCTTGGACCTTTTCTTGAACCTTGGGCTGCACACTAGAACGGACACAGACAACCATGGGCCGTGTGGACAACCATGGGCCGTGGGCAGATAGTGACCCTGGTCAAATGTGGACGCACATTTGACCACGCGGGGGCGCACCTTGAGAGTGAAGTAGGCGTCGATCAGCTCGTGCAGCAGCGGCCGCGTAGCGCCGCCAGGTGTCATGATGGCATTGGACGACGGCAGGCCGAGCTCGTCCTCTAGCTTTGGTCGGCGCGGGTACACTGGCGGCTGGAGAAACGCAAGGGAGAAATAATCTTTGTTTAGTCGAATGGAACGAAAGAAACACCTTCAGCCAGACGGTTGTTTTCAACTCTGGACCAAGTGAATGCTTGGTCACACTAACAGGTACACTTGGAAGGTATGTACCCGGTTTCATCCTGAGAAGTTCTCGTCAATCGTACGTACCAGGTTACACTCCGAGAGGTACACTTTGAGGGTATGGTCCATCTCCCCCCACTCCAGATACTCGCACAGCAGCGCCGTCAGCAGATGACCTGCCACAATGTCACCATTATCCACGAAGAAACAACGTTACGGCTAAGAAAAGCATACATTGTTCACTCATGTCCTGAATCATGAACTACACAAACGGCGGTGGGTCAACTACAGTTGAATCATAAACACAGGGTCATCAGCAGCCCTGCTACCACAGAAGCTCGGAAGCTCGACCGTACACTTCAGAATGGCATTCACGTGCCGCTTCTCGTCAGCTCACTCGTCTTTGATTCGCGCATCTCCTTAATCTACTCTCGCACGTTTCGAGGCGCCTCAAAGCACGACCATTCTCCATCCGCTCACCCGTTTTGGAGTCGTGCAGGTTCTTCGCCTGCTCGCTGCAGCCGCCTCGAGACGACTGAATCTCCCTGGCCTGGTCGCTGCTTCCGCTTTTCACGTTTGTAGTCGTTTGAAAGCTCGACTACCTCCCATCCGCTCACCCGTTTTGGAGTCGTGCAGGTTCTTCGCCTGTTCGCTACAGCCGCCTCTCACGGCGCGTTGCTCGTCGCCGCTCGCCGTCTTGTCTTTGTCGTCTATCACCTCGAAGATGCTCGCTCGCAGCTCCGCCTGCCAGAAACAGCCACGACCCACGACCCACGAGCCTCGATAATGAGAGCCTCAGTCACAAGTTACAAGACACGAGACACGGTACAGGAGACTCGGTAATGCGAGCAACTCACGAATCATGAGCCACGAGCCTCGATAATACTTGCTTTAGTAAACGGATACAAGCCTCGGTTCCTCAACTAGTCCTGTGCCTTAAACGAAACCGATAACGTGGATTTTGAACCAGAAGTGACACGCCTGAAGCAACGACATTCCATCTCAGAATCGGACTTTGACGTTTCAAAAGTATCGTCTAGGATACTTTTCGGTCTTCTCATACCTTGAGTCGAGCCAGGACACCCTTCTTCTCTAAAGCCTTCGTCACGAGAGTTTTCAACTCTCCCATCTCCTTGTTATACTCGTCTAGCGGAGTCGGGTGATTCTGAAGCGTCGCCATCCCCTCGTGTATTCGACCTAGAGTCGGAAGTTGAATGAGCTCCGTCAGGCCTAGCGAAATTCTTAGTGAAATCTAATCGTCCAGAATACGGGTACTTAGACTGCACTGAGATTGTAGACTCAGGATACGGTAATTGCGAGTGACGCCAGTGTAACTTGAAGACCTAATTTACGGACCCAGGCACACAATAGGCGAGGAATACTAAAACAAATAGCAGACAAAGTAACCTCCTTTTCTCGAGACTGCCGAAAGGACTAGGGAAGATGCGGAATGAGGAGGAGATAGTGAAGGTATCAAATCAAGTGGGAGTACCAGATGCTTTTGGGTGTGTTGAGTTTCAGCTCATCTACCACGGTTCTGCAGTTTTCGTTACGGTGCGAAACGGTAATGTAGATGTACCGTTAAATACCGACCGAGAAACTTGCTGAACCGTAATGGACGATTAGCATACATCCAGATTTCTGTTCTCTGTTTGCTTCAGCTGACAACACCCAGCACATAGATGTGTGAGATGAGGTGAGGTGCTTGGCGTTGCTCATCCCCGACAGACACGGAGCGCAACAGTCTGAGGTGCCAACTGTCGATGAAGCGAAACAAACGAAATAAAACCAACTGCAAACTACGCTGGCGAACTCGAATGAGATCGCCAGCCTGGCATGGGTGTCAGACTGTGTGCAGCCTTTTGGAACCGCGCAAATGAAGTTCCGCCCTTTCGGGTTAGTCCTCAGGGCGACGTCAGGTTGTACAAATTTTTGCACGCCCACTGCGGTTGACTTCGTTTCAACACTGTGAAGAACGGTAAATAGAAAGAACCGCTTTTCACCAGTTTCAAGTTTTGAACCACGACACAAGAACTGTAGACCTGCGAGAAACGTACATCCTGATGTCGCCCTCAGTGATCCCGATACAGGGAGGGAATGCTTGGAGGGAAAGCCGTCTGACAAGTTGGAACCAAAATTCGTCGATGAAACTCCCAATACTGGATATGGCAAATGGCAGAAATAACATGTTTCGGCTGGTGTCTTTCATAATATTTAGATAATGAGCATAGCTCTACTTGCTGCTTCTAAAATATTTGGAACATTTTATATTTTATGTATCACTACAAAATGACGTCCGTCTAGGTTGTTAACATACATAAGCTACCAGCAACCTGTCAAAACGTAGGTTATAAACATAAACTACCAGGAACCTGTTAAAATGCGGCGTGAATAGACATGTACATACTATTGGCATGCGGTTTCATGTCCGCAGGAGGGGAATGATCAGGCGATGGCAAATCCAGCGGCGGGGGAATGGACAAAGGAGGCAGTCCCCTCTTCCGAGCCCACTGCTCCCGAATCAGCCTTGCAGCCTTACTCACAGGAGCACCCGTCTCCCTCAACTCCCCCAAACCCAGCAGCAAACCCCCCAAACTGCCTTCTGAATCCCCAATGCTCACACTCCCTTCGTCCCGACCTCTCTTAATCGACCGCCCAGACATGCTAAACGAAGAGTTAGCGGATCGTACACGCGGTGAGGTGCCAACACTAGAAATACCCTCTGTTCCGAGGCTTGAGATGACGGCGGCTGCTTCTCGGGCCGCTGCTGACGCTGGGAAGAGGGGTAGCTCTGTGATTGCTGCTGCAGCATTGAGACAAGAGTCCGCATGAACCGGCAGTGGGAAATCATCAGCGAAATCTGCAGCGCGTTGGGCATCAGCTGGCGAGGAGTCCGGTGCGGCGGCAGGTCCAGCAGCCCATGTGAAGTCGCTTGCCGAAGCAGCCGCCGAGCCTGCCGCCGAGCCTGTCGCCGAGCTTGATCCAGGTCCGGAGGCGGGTGCCGAGGCTGAGAACGAAGCGGAGGCGTGGACAGGAGCGAGCGCGAGGGAGAGGGAGGATGGGGAGCGAGCGAAGCTTAAGGGGTGGGGAGGGTAGGTGGTGACTGGGAAAGGTGTTATTGGGGAAGATGCTACTGGAGCAGGCGCAGCTGCTGCCGGAGTTTTAGGAGCAATTGCACCCATACCAGCCACACCACCTGCGCTGCCCACATAAAACATATCTTCCATAACAGTAGTCTCGAACCCAGGGGTTGCAGCAGGCATTGCATCAGCAGCGGCAAAGGCAGGGTGTGAGGGAGGATGAGGGGCTGCGTGTGTGGCGGGGGGTTGCAGGTGAAGCGGCGAGGGAAGGGAGGGAGGGGGGAGAGTCGCATAGTCGGATAGAGGAGGAGGTGGTGGGGAAGAGATTATGGGAGGATAGTAGGGAGGCTGCTGCTGCTGCCATTGCTGCTGGTCCTGCTGCTGCAGCTCCTGCTGCCATTGCTGTTGGTACTGCGGTGGTGCCTGGCACTGCAGTTGCTCCTCCAGTGGAAGTGCTGATGTGGGAAGGGCTGCTGCTGACAGTGTTGCTGCTGGCTGCGCTGGTGTTTGCTCCCTTGATGCTGGCTCCCCATTGGACGGCTCCCACATGGCACACGCAATAGGATGGTCCAGTGAGAACCCGCCATCTGGCACGTGAACAGTACCTGGGGTGGCACTCGGTTCTCGAGACTGGGTGGTCCCTGTGAACAAGAAAGGCGGCTGGAAAGGCGGCTGGAAAGCCTGTTGCTGCTCTTCTCCCTCTCGCACGCCCTCCTCTTCCCCATGTTCCAGCTTTACCGGCGCCATCCGCGCAATCGCGACCCCGCGTTTCCCCCCATCCCCCCCCGCGCCGGGCCCCCCTTCCCCTTGTCCCCGGCCCGCCACCTCCCCCACATCTCGCCCAGGAAGCTTCGTCAGAAGCTCCTGCTTAAACTTCTCTACAGTCCCCTTAATCATCTCGGTACAGTCACCCCCGCTTACAGTCACATTCTGGTCGGAGGACAGAAGCTTTGTGACCATATCGAGCAGCGCCGTTGCTTCCGCTTCAACTGGTGACGTGGCATTGGCGGCCGGCGCGCGTTCAACGCCAAGTGTCACCGCCTCGTTTGAGGATGAAGTCAGCTTCGCACCGCGCGACGCGCAAACGTCCGCTCCGCTCCCCTTCAGAGCGCGCAATTCGGGGGAAGGGGCAAGCTCAGGTTCCTGGGGACTGCCCGCCTGTTCGTACGCTTCCGCCTGTCCTCGACCCCGCGCCAACGTTGAGCCTGCCCCTTGCGCCGCCGATTCCTCCCCCCGCTCCCCCTTCTTCGCGCCTTGGCGTCGCTCCCGCTTCTCCGCGCCTGCACCCGCAGCCTTTGCGCCGTCCGCCCTGCGCCCGCCTTGGAGCGCCCAGAGCTCTGCCATGATCGCGGGGAACGTCGCCTCCCCTTCGAACAGCGCAACAACCGGAGATTCTCCGCCTTTTGCGCTACCGGCGCCGCTGGAAGGGAGACCGGCGTAGAAAATTGACGGCGCTGGCAATTCCGCAGCAGAAAACGGCGCATCAGCCGGCCGAATTGAAACAGCCGTTACTCTCGGCGACTGCGCGCCGAGCGCGGAATTCTTTTTCGCCGCGCCGCCAGCGGAGCGTCTTTGCGCGGGAGGCGGGCGCGGGCTCGCGGGTACCTTCGACTGACAGCGCTGCTCGTTTTGCGGCTTCGCGGGTTTCTCGCCGGGTTTTGCCGGTCGCGGCGACGGTTCAGCGCTGCCAGCCGACGAAAACCGTTTCTCTGACGGATTCCGACGACTCTCGTTAACCGCAGCGAGATCTGCTCCCGGCCCGAAGAGAGCAGTCAGCAGCGCGTTCGCCTCCTCAAGTGCGCGCATCTCCTGCGCCGACGGCGCGGGCATGGCGGAACCTCCGCCCTGCGCCGCCGCCTTTCCGCGCGCGGGAAGCGCGCCGGCGTGAGCGCCGCCGCGGGGAATCGGGGGAGTATTCGGGGAAGCGGGCGGAGAGTGCTTGGCAGAAGGCAGAAAATCGTGCCCCTTGGCAGGAGCGGTTTTCGCCCCAAGCGCGTGCGGAGGCTGCGCGGGTGATGCGGAAGCCGCGGAAGCGGCGCAGCCTGAAGGGCTGGTGAGGTGGAAAGCGGTCGCCGGCCATTTACGCTCGGTCTTTGGGGACGCCGCTTCAAAAGGCGGCCACTGTTCCGTCTTGACCTGCGCTGCTTTGCGCAAGGCGTCCGCCCATCCTCCGCCCAACGCGGCCATACTGGTTCGGTAACAGTAACAATGGTAAGTAATACAAAAAGATTCTTCGAAAGCCAACAAAGTGTGAAACTAAGCTACTGGTAGCAGTCTCGTGCGCGAAGAAACTTAGGATCCAAAGAGCATATGGTCTGACTGTTTCGGAAACACGCCGTATCGGTGCCGACTGTTCCGGCGTTTCGCCTTTGAGTGCATATAGCAGGAGATAACCAGTCAGTGGAAAGCTTGGGACTGCACGTCTGCCGCAACTGCCGCTGCTCCATCTGTCTCCTGATATTTTATGTGTCTTGGAGGTCGGCAAACAGGCAACTGTTCCGCCTCAAGCGATGAGGGAACTGTGCGTGTGAGGAGGGACCGTGGTTCTGGCAGGGCAGGCAGTAGTGGCGCAGATGAATTACGCGCGGGGAAATGAGCGGTGCGGAACCCAAACCGACGCGGAAAAAGATGGGGGAAAGTGATGAGAAATCAGGCCCAGCCGAATGTTGAGCAGGCGGGGAGCGGAGGTGGTGTTTGGCAGGCTTGGCGGAGTGAAGAGCTACCCGTTCCTCTTGAATGTGATGTTTTAGCTAAGGGCGAAAGACATTTGTACTGTGTACACTGAAATTACACAGCAACCCGTGCTTAGTGGGAGACGAAGCACTGAAAGTGTGGACTCGCTACTTTTCCCAACCAAGCCGGTATTGATGGTGTGAATGAGCGAGGTTTGAAGGTGAACCTATCCATGAAAATGAAAATGAAAAACGTTGACTTCAGCTTCCATCTGCCCCAAATCGAAAGAGTCAGCAAACCAGGGATGCGATGCGTTGCCTGTCATACCTAGGTGATAGGAAACGGGCTAGCCGCCGCATGTATCGGCCCTTCAAGATTCACCTGACAACACAGCAACAGACCCCTGAGGCAAAGACACCCAACATAAACCTGGCACCTGAATCTGCGCTACATGAAATCATGATTGTCCAAATGTAACACCAAGCACAGAAAAAACATTCATAATATTATACATACATTAAAAGGTTGTTCTTATCAAAAGTTGTCCATAAAGGAGAAATAACAGCAATCCACAACATTGCAGCACGTTACAATCATAGCTGGCTATCATAAACCACAGGATTGAGTGGAAGTATGTAAGAAGCGACAATTTTGTCAACATACACATATGCATTTGCATACATATTACTAAGGCTTGGTTGGGTTGCACTATACAGGATACATGTTTGTTAAAGATACCCCCTTTGTATGCCCTCTGTGAAACAAGACTAGAGAGCAGTAGGCTTAGGAGCCATGGTAAGTCGGGAGGAGAGATCGAGTTCGAGTAAGTTTAGGAAAGTCGAGAAGTTTGAACAAAAAGAGAATTTCACTATAGAGCGAGGAGTACAAATAGGCAAGAAAAAAGGTGCACCACCAAACAGAACATTATATAACTACAGTAGTCTACACTACAGGCAGTTACAAAAACATTATATTGAAATATATATATTATTCTTGACACGCCCCCATAAGTGCCTGTAGGGAAGAATATGCAGTCAACGCCCCCATAATGGGGTACACCAGTCAGGCCGCAGCAGAAATCATAGCAACAGGCAAGTGCAGTGGCAACCAGTGCAGTGATGGCAGATCCAGCTGTTCCAACCCCTTTACCAAGGTAAAACAAAAAGTAGCAGGTGTTGGGGCGGCAGGGCGCCTGAGGAGCAGGCTCTGTGGCTGCAACATGCAGCAGGACAGCAGCGGCTCGACGGCAGCACCTGCAGGCCCCAGCAGTAGGTAGCAGAAACAAAAGGTAAGGTAGGTGGTAGCAGGGGCGGCAGCTGGAGGTGCCATGGCAGCAGCGGGCGTCAGCAGCAGATGACCGGCTGACTTCCGTCGCCCCCTCACTCCCCCCCCCACAGCGGCACGTGCGGCAGTGTGAGAGAGAGGAGGGGCGGCAGCTTCTTGCTCACACCCGCCACCCCAAAACCCCCCCCCCCACACTGTTGCACGGGCAGCAGGGAGAGAGTAGGGACGGCGCGTGGCGGCGCAGCGGTGTAGCGCAGCAGCGAACAGAGCGGCGTCAACCACCCTCGCGCCTCCCCCTCCCCCTCCCCCCCCCCCCCACACCGTCGTCCACAGCGGAAGTCATGGTAGTGGGCGTGGTTGGCGTTGGCGAGATCGCGAGTAAGGGGGGGGAGTAATGGGGGGGTACAACAGGTGCCGCGACGAGCGCCTTCGCACAGCTCGCCGTCGCTTGCGGGGCAGGGGGCGCATTTGGCGACTGAAGCAGCTCGGCCGCCACACCCGCCGTCTCCCCCCAAAGCGACCGTCGATGCAGACGCTCGGGGCCACGACAGGGCGTGACGAGGCTGCAGTAGGGCGCGATGGGCAGGCGACTGGTCCGACGACTGGGGCCGTGAAAAATAAACAGCGCCAAGTGCGCCACGCTCAACTTCGCAACATTCGCGACGAGCGGTTGAACGGGCATAGCTGGGGCCGCGACGAGCGCCATGGCAGGAGCGTGATGCGGTGGGCCCATGGGAAAAAAAAAATAGGTCCTAGGATAGGAACCACTCTGATAACATGTGAAACAAGAGTAGAGAACGGTAGGCTTAGGAGCCATGGTAAGTTGGGAGGAGAGATCGAGTTCGAGTAAGTTTAGGAAAGTCGAGAAGTTTGAACAAAAAGAGAATTTCACTATAGAGTGAGGAGTACAAATAGGCAAGAAGAAAGGTGCACCACCAAACAGAACATTATATAACTACAGTAGTCTACACTACAGGCAGTTACAAAAACAATATATAGAAATATATATATTATTCTTGACACCCTCATTCCTCAATCATTATGTTTTTTCACATTGTTTTAAAAGATGGTAGATTTCTCAGTTCCGCACCACCTATATCTCTAGCTAGCCTAATGCATTCACAAACCCAATCTAGCATCCAACCCCTCGAGCGCACTCTAGCGCCCTATAGTGCCCCCCCATGAGCGCCATCTAGTGCCCCCCTCTAGCGCCCTCTAATGCCCCCCCTCTAGCGCCCTCTAGTGGCCTCCTCTAGCAGGCCCTCTAACGACCCCCTCTTAGCGCCCCGCCGTGCCCCCTGCGCCTCGTCGAGCCCTAGACTGCGCTTGCCGTGTGCCCATAGTCGTCCGCTGCCTCCCGCGCCTGCGACCGCAGCTACCGCGATGGCAAAAGCCACCGCCGCGCCAGCCATGCTCACTCTTGCTTTGCTCAGGCCTGCTGCCTGCCACAGGCCACCTGCCCGATTGCTACGTACATTGACGTGCCCTGCTGCAGCATTTGCTTCGCGTCCCACCACGCGTCCTCGCGCGCTCACAGCCACGGATTCAGCTCTACATGACTGCCTCTAACTATCTTCTCCTCCGCCTATAGTTGTACCCTCTTATCCAATGTAGTTGTGCCCCAGCTCATTCCTATTATGACGTCCGGGTTCGTACCGCGGCTCGGTGCGGAAGGGCGGGCGTTCTACTTTGGGACGTATGGCCTGTCGATGTACAGCTCCACCTGCAGAGCCAGGGTCAGGATGGCATGTACCTGCACACCCACATATCGGGTGAGCTACGTCCCACTGCTCTTGCTACCGAGGCCACGCCAGTGCGGGATACTCATCGCGTGGCCCAGCTTGCGTACCCAGTACGGGTGTTCCGTGATGCTATTGAGCACCTTGCTCTTAGTCGCCTCCTACTGTTGGACGGGCGAGTGCACTTTTGACATGGTGCGATTGTGTGCATGATATTGTTGCTCGCTACTCCAACCCCTCCTTTGCTACTCGGAAACGCCTCCTCACACTGTTTCTCCTCTTTGATCTCCCTTATTTCCCCACTATCGCTGACATCAACTGCATTCGCTTAAAGCTGGATTCGCGCTGCTTGCACTAGACCACCTTCCTATGCACGCACCCCCTATGCATCTCAACCTGCACTTCCTCGCAACCGTCTCCCTGGCCTCCCTGCACGTGCTCACGATGTCATGCACCGCATAAACCTCACTATCGATATTTTTGCTACTCGACTCACCCGGTATCCACTCTATGCTCATTCATTTTTGTTCTCCCGCTACCTCCTTTGTCTCCTCTCTTTCTTCTCCTTATTCTCCTGATATCCTCCGTGCCGCTCGCCCTACCGTCTCTAGTGTCATTTCTTTTCACATTACTGGCCCAAGTGCTCCTTCTCAGTTTGTCTCTGCTGTTGGCAATGTTGTTGCTGAATTTGTCCCCACATGTCGCTTTGACCATGCCACTCAGTTGGTCTCTGCTCCTGCCTGTCTGTCTATGCCGTTTGTCAGTGGTGCTCCTGCCTTTAGCAGTGACATCTTAGAGGACCAGTGGTTCGAGCTGGCTTTCCTTGCGGTCACTTCTCCTCAACTCTATGCCATCTTGCTAGGGTGACCCAAACGCTCTTGACATCAGACCCCTCGCACCCATGCTGAGGCAGCCTCAGGACCCTGTGCCTCTCAGTAGATGGCAACCATGGACGCAAATGTGACATATTGGAGGTCCAAACGCATCTATGTCGACATAGTTCCCTCTCCTGGGGAGCACGTTGTCGATGGTATGGAAATCTTCAAGGTGAAGCGGTCACCTAAAACGATGCTTGCCTTCAAGGCTTTAAACAGCGTGTGGGGATAGACTTCTTTCGGTCCTTCTTCCCTACCCCGAACACGACCATTCTTCGGATATTGCAGAATATTACGGCGCAACGCAATTACAAGCTTCACCCATTTGACTTATCGACTCCCTTTCTCCAGGGCAGTCTGCACGAGCAGATTTTCCTCTACCGGCCACCTGGATTCACAAGATCATTTCCTCTTAGGACCCTGTGGAGTCTTTGACGACCTGTTTACGATCCGCGTCAAACACTTCATGAGTGGCATGGCAGACTGCACACTACTCTTGCTAATCTCCACCTTTTACCGTCCTCTGCTGCCCTTTTTTCGTTCGCTCGGGCTCGACTTCTATCTACATTATTTTCTACGTCAACAAGCTGGCCTTCGCTACTCCAGACAGAGTGGC